TAAGCCCCACCTACCCACCTGGTCATTAGGACAGAGAACCGGTTGTTAAATTATTTGAATCCCACCGCTGCAGGCTAGGTAACATTGTCAATGGAATTTCACCATTAAATTGTTTGCAAAATAATGTTTTGTGACAGAAAAACTATAGACATATTCGCTGGATGTTAATTGATCTCACAACTTATTTAAGACTGAATTCCCCTTAACAATTAGTGCATATGCTCTAAATGTTGCTAAAATATTTCTAAAATATTTTGCCTCTAGGTAAGATGGGTGGCATATAAATTTAATAATCATAATAAATAAAAAGAAGAAGTAATATGATAGGTAGGTAGAGGTAATAAATATGGTCTGCATTCCTTCTACCTCAAAGCACAACCAAAAAATCATACCTTGATCTGAATGTACTTAATCAATTTTCTGAGAATTGCAAGGAGCTGATCATTTCCAACTGGCATATCTAAAACAAAATATATTTATTAAGTTAAATAAGGCATTTAACAAAGTAGACCACAACCTACTTTTTGGTAAGCTAGAAAAATGTGGAATAAAGAACATCACTACCAGATGGGTTTGTAGTTGGCTGACAAACCGTACTCAACAAGTTGTCCTTAATGGTACTAAATCCACATGGAAATAAGTAAACAGTAGGGTACCACAAGGCTCTGTCAGGCTCAGTACTCTTCAATATCTTCATAAATGACTTAGATGAGGGAATAGAAGGGGAATTAATCAAATTTGCAGGTGACAATGAACTGTCAGAAATAGCCAACACCTGTGAAGACAAGATCAGGATCCAAAAGGATCTTGACTAAGTTGAACAATGGGCCCTAACCAACAAAATGAATTTTAATGTTGAGAAAAGCAAGGTTTTACATTTAGGCAGGAAAAATCAAAGGTATAAGTACAGATTAGGAAAGACCTGGCTCAAAAACAGTAACTGTGAGAGAGACCTTGGAGTCCTAGCGTTTTTGGACTTGGCTCGGTCTATGATAGTCACTGTTTCCTAGTTAAAACTGTGGTTAAGTTTGTCGATATATTGTGAAATTAAGGAATTTTCATCATGTTTTCTGACTGCTAGTTGATGTCCAAGGGATTTTTATTTTTGTTCCATTGCCAAAGTGAATTATTAGATAGGAATAGTGGAATCAGCCCAGTGTGAAAGAAGAATCCTTAAGCAATATGTCACAATTAATTTCCAGTCTCAAAATTCAATTTAAGGCATCTCATGCTCAAGTATGAGTACTAATTTTGGGGATACCCCAGGGTGTGTCAAGTAGGGCCTTAGAAATTTACAATTTTTACTGTCTCTAAAGCATTATTCTTCATATACAACATGTGCTGCATAAAGTATTTGAGCTAAGTCAGCCTGGTCATCATCACTTTCTTTCAAGCTTGCTGCCAGCTGCCATGGAAATGGGGGAATAAGCAATGGGCATTTGGGAGTGGAACATGCAGTGGTGGGAGAGTGAAATGCTGGGAACCAATGGGGAGGATTGGACTCATGGAAGGCAGAGAGGCCAAAGGGGGCTATCTCACATCTTCAAGGCCAACTCTCCTGGGAATGGTATGCATGGAGGCAGCACAGAGCACCTGGATAGGAGACATTCCCAAAACATTTTATTGGATGATGATTGGACTCTGTCTGCCTGACTATTGGAGGTGTGCCCTGGGGTAACTTTCAATCTGGAATTTTCATGTGCGCTTGCTTCAGACCTTGCCTGACTTTTGCTGCATTTTGATCTTTCATAGTAAAAGAATCTTTTCTCTAAATTCATGAAGGATTTTCTTTCCTAGGAATTGATCGGGACAGTCCTGACAGCTAAGTTTTAGCTTCAAAAAGCCTGAGTGCTGCTGCTTGAGTTCAACTCCTTAGGAGTAGAAAAGTTTTTTCGTCTAATATAGATTTTGATGTCAACTATATACTAAAGATAGTCCTCGTACTTGGGACTGGCAATTCTGTTACTAAGTGATTGTTCTACTAATTTCTCCTTGCTTGGGTTAAGGATCAGACCAATGGTTTAGAATTCTATTTTCAAAATGCCACAGACATTTTGTTGAAATACCATAATCAGGAATACATATTTCAGCTTTATAGTTCTGAAATATCTTTATCAGGACCAACCAATATAGCACAAAAATTGTGGATATTCTTTCCCAATCATTCCAATATATTGTCAATATGGATCATATTGCTGCCTCCAAACTTCCTATACTGACCATATGGACTGTAAGCAAGAATCAAATTGTCACTGGTGTCTGCCATTTATTACAATATCCCTGCTTCCTCAAATTTCCTATTCAGTTTAATTTGTGCAGAGTGAATGATGAAACATAATTTAGACATTGCATCACATTAAGTAAGATCTTAATTTCTTACTGGAAATTGTTTCAAGAGCACATACTTCATAGAATCATAGCCTGGAAGGGACCTCGAAGATCTTCTAGTCCAGCCCGCTGCTCAAGGCAAGAGTTTTATACCATACCAGTCAAATATTTATCCAGTCTATTTTTGAAAACCTCCAGTGATTTACACAATACCATCCAAAGTTATTCTTCCTCCAACAACTTTCAAAAATGTCAAACATGGGTCCTCTCCCACTCAATCCATTGTCACTCTTTAACAATTGCACACAAATACTATATTTACTTTTCTATGATGATGTGAACCTATGGAAAAAATCAGTATATCTCATGAATACATTGTAATAATCCTTAAATTACCTGCAGGATACAGAAGCTTGTCTATGACATGAATCACACCATTAGTTGCCATGAGATCAGATTCTTTTGATTTCAGTTCATTTACCAGAAGAGTGTCATTTATCTAAGTAATAATCAACAAAAATTAAATCAAGAAAATTATCCACAAAGAAAGAAATATTTTTACCTCTAATATTAAAGAAATTTAGATATTTACGTCAATTTAAAGAAGAAAGATGGTAAATTTTAATCAACAGTAATCCATATGGTGTTTGCAAGGGTGCTCCTCACTGTCAGTTTGGATATGTAATGGTCAGTGAATGACTATAAATAAAGGTAAGAGTCTTTTTTATAAAAGCTATAACTACTTACCATTTTCAAATATAGTTTGCCACCTTGGATAGTTTTAAGAATGCTAGTCACACCAGGTTCAATTCCATTTGCAATGAAAACTCCTTGTATCAAATGATAAAGCAAAATATTCCTAAGAGCATTTTGGTCTCCTGGTGAAAAAAATCAAAAGATATGGGAACTGGTTATCCTATTTCAATGAATAAGTGCTACAAACAACTTACTTTCCTTCAACCAACACACTCTATCCATACTCTGGTTTTTTTTTTTATTCCAAGTGAATCAAAACTTGAAGTTAAGACAAAGTAATTAGCAAAGAGATTTTATATCTTGATTGCAATGAAAATCTAAACAACAATAATAGTATATCCAATTCATCTTACAATTCCACAGAGAACGCAGAGATTTTCAATTTGGATTTGCAACTGGATTTTATATACTATGGGAGAGTTGCAAGAACTCCAGCTCTTGACATTTTCCCAAAAACAGGAAGAAATTTTAAAACAAAATAAAACAAATTTGCAACTTCTTTTCAAATAAATCATTTATTGAAATCTGACATATAATTCATGTCAAAATGACATGAGAACAAGCCAAAAATAACTCATATACCAGAAAGAACAAGGATCTCAATGTCACAGGATGGAAAACAAGAATGGAAAATGCTTATTCAAGTAAGGTAGGATAATACTATATCATGGGTGGGTTGCTGCTGGTATTACTGCCAATTTGCAACCCACGTGCAATGTGCATGTGCGTGCACAAGCCACACGCTGTGTGCGCATGTGCTATTCAATGTAAATTGTTATCTGTGCATGCGCAGAACAATTTACAGTGAACTGCACATGCACAGTCACTAAAATCCAAAATGGCGGCGCCCAAGCGGCAGCGAAGGAATCAGTTCGGGGGCGTGCCAGGCCTGGGTCGCCGCCCGTTCTGCAACCCACGCCTGAATTCCACTACCGGGCCAAACTGGCAGCAACCGACCTCTATACTGTATGGGGGGGATGGGGGTTGAAAGAGAAGATTGGGAAGGAAATCATAAAGTGATGATTTATATATTTTTGAATCATATCCTCTACCCCATACAGAAATCCAAACTAAATCAACCACAACAGCTAGTTGTTGAAAACATATTCAGTCACTAGAATTAGCTAAAAACATATTCAGTGATGGCAAGACTATCAAAATCTATCTCTCTGTATGATTCTTCCATCTTCCCCCAGTTTGGAAAGATTTATTCTTGAGACATCCCTAGAGATTTCTGAAATTTCAATACATTTGTTTATTATGGGATTTTTCAAATACCAATGAAAGTCTGATTTTTCCCCCTTTTCAAAATACATGAGCAAAATCTTCATTATCCTATAATACAATTAATTTGATCCTGGAAATTTACATTTATTCATAATAAATAGGTATTCTCTGACAATAACTATTGTCTTCAATTTATTTTATTCTACATAGTTGACTAGTGAAACTCATATTACTCTTTGGATCTAAGAATAAATCAAAAGAGATGGGTAGAACTGGTAGGATTATTTTATTTTGACTGAATAGATAATGTACTTTCTTTCTTCCTTTTGTTTTCAACATATCTATAGAAGATTTGTTTGTTCCAGTTGTTAGCTTTTTGACACCACCTCTACAGTATCTGTATATTTTTCTTTGGTGACCTGTCTCAATTTCTATCTCTTATATGTATTCTTCAAATCTTTACCAAGCTATTTGGGCAGCTATTTTAATTTCTTTTGTTAACCTCTTCTTTGAGAAATTATTTATGATTGCTATTACTATTACCTTTTTAAAGAATATAGTCTATACAGTATTGAATGTCTGCCATGGATTCATAAATAATTGCTGCAATAACCGACTTTCCTTTAAGTTTCATAGATGTACATATTAATTTCAGATCCTTTTAAAATCAAGAATTCCAGACTGTTATGGTCACAATACTGAATATTGGTCAGCATCAAATCAAGGAGAACATTGTCAGTAAGACGTAAGGAATCTCCTGGTCACTTAAGAGCAAGAGGCAGAATATATACCAAAATAATAACCATATGCCTATAAGGTATCAAAACCCAAACAAAAACAAATATGAATTTTATATAATCAAATAGTGCTCATTTGTTTTTATATTTTCATCACCTCTGGACAAAATGGGTGGCACACAAATCAGATAGATAGATAGATAGATAGATAGATAGATAGATAGATAGATAGATAGATAGATAGATAGATAGATAGGAGAGAGGAGGGGAGAGAATGAGAATACCTGTTATGGAGTCACACTTAGTTTTATTTGGTGGGAGGCTTTTGGCTCACCTAGAGGAGGGGAATGACCATTTCTTTAAAAAAAATCAAAGTTTAATATATAAGATTTATTTTATCAAGAAGGACGAAAAAGGAAATAATTGCATTATTGGAAATTAGATTTTGCTGCTGAATTTGGGCAGTATAATGTTAGGACCATAAAGACCATTTTAAAAAACCAAAATGATCAGGAGAAATCACATTGCAATTCACATAGTGCAAAAGAAGAAATGAAACAATTCATTCCAGGGAATGCCCTTATTTATCTTTTTATGACTTACTTATCAGAATCTCTTTTTCTTGTTCAGTCAAGCCTTTGAAAGCATCATTGGTTGGAATAAAGAAAGTCCAATCACCAGGCTGGGACAGAATCTCTTCTAAGCCTGCAGCTTCCACAAGACTAAGGAAAGTGCTGGAAAATAATAATGAAAATAATACCAAATATAATATATCACTCAGTATTGCCTTTTGACAGAATATTAAGGTGATATTGTATATAGAAAGAAAAATGTGCAATATTGCCAATATCAAAACCATTTTTATTTTGTATTCAGTTTCAACCACTTAATTCTGCTTGTTATGATGTGCCCAAATAGCAATGATAGAGGGACACAAGTATAAATTTGAGCACTGGTCACAAAGCTGATCCCCCTCCCAATGGTTCAAAAAATCAATAAATATGTAATTGATAAGTCACAATGGAGGGCTTTCCTGGACGTGTTGGTGGTCCATTTGGGGACTCATTCTGGTCGTGCCCTGGGCGGTGGGTCTGGCTTTGGTTTTGGGGCTGGGGTTGGGCATGCAACTGCCATGTGGCCCATCCCCCCGCATCGGTAGCATTTCAGTGGACTTCAAGGGAGGCCTGATCTCAGGGCCTGCTGTGGTGCTGTGGTTCCCTGTCAGCTGGGTGATTTCAGGTCATGTTGATCTCTCTCTTTTGTGTCCGATTGCTTTCTCATGTCATTGGTGTACAGCCCGCTGCTGACTTTTGTTGCTACCACTCAGAGAGTCGATTTGAGATGTCACAGTATGAGGTTGTTCTGAAAAAATGCACCAGCAGCCGCTCTGGTAAAGGGGGTAGCCTTCCTATGACCCTCCTGAAGTCATGAATGTGCTCTTTAATGTGGCAGCCCTATGCTTTAGGTTGCTGAGTTCCTCTTCTGCATATGGGTCCTCCTCCACCTCCCCAAATCTGCCCTCTAGCAGTTACAGGAAGTCATCTATGTCTTGCAGTTGGGGGGCTCTCCTCTTGTGGAGAGCTGCTAACCATTCCCTTGCTTCTCCCTCTAGCCCCTCTGTGATAGTATTCACCATGGCCCCGGGGTATGGGTAGAGGTGCCCATAACGTTCTAGGTGGATATCAGCTGAATCGAGGAATAGAGCTAGCTGGTCTGAGTCCCTGTCAAACTTTCCCCTGAATTGGGGAGGGTCATTCAGCCCTACTCCTCCAACCTCCTGTCGGCCTCTGTATGCTTGCGCCTGATATGGCTGGCCATCTTCCTCACATCTAGCTTGGAGGGAGGGAGGGGTTTGCCTGCCCTGGGCAACCTGCCTGCTGCATGGGAGAGGCACTGGTTGCAATTTCAGGTTCCTTTGCAAACAGAGCCTCTCCCAAATTCCAATACATTATTGAGCCAATCTCAATGTGTGAAGATGTTATGGGAAACTCAGGCTGAGAAGGTGATAAATACTGGTCTCCAAGGCAATGCTGCTGCTTTTCTCTGGAAAGAGATAAGGCAGCTGGCTCGAGGTACATTCCATTCCCCAAATCCCAAAAGTTACAGCAAAGCAAAGCAAGGAATAGAAACAGAAACCCCATACAGAGATTCCCCCCAAGCCACCCCACCTTGCCGTGAGTGATGTCAAGTTGACCATGCCCACTCAGTCACATGACCCCCACCAAGCCACACCCATAGAATCAGTAGTAAAAAAAATTGAATCCCACCATTGTCTAGGACCACAATAAGGATTTGCTTAGATTTGCCTAAGATGAATGTCCCTACCAAGAACAAAACTTTGTTTTTCCCAATCCTCTTCTGGAGCATCTTTAAATTGTGCTGGTCTATTCCTAAACCAGTGTAGGATAATGTATTTCTGGAACAATACATAATCTTTGCAATTATATAGTAATATCTACTAACATTTGCAATGTTAAATATGAAAAGCATTATTGTATAGGTTCACATTTTTGGTATCTCCTAATAGTTAAAAATTCCTACTATACCTGAATCGTTTGTCAGATCGCAATATTTCATGCAGAGTTCTTTCTGCTGGTTTGATTATTTGCCTAAAAATATGGATAAATCCATTTCTTCCCTCTTTGCTTCCTCGAATCATGCATGAATTTTCAATACACACAGCCTAGCAATACAAAAGGCAAATAGCATATGAGCTAAATCTCACTGGAAAATATATAAAAACATTTTATATGGAAATGTTTCATGTAGTGTAAAATATTATCCATTTAGTTCTTGTGCAAACAATCTGCTAAAATAAATATAACATTTTATTTGATGGCTGAATAAAAGGCACCATGAAAATAACATCATAGTGATTTTAGTAACTTTTTCTGAACAGGTCAAAAATGGTAATTCAGGCCCGAGCATAAGAACTTTAATCTCTAAAGAATTATGTTGGATCTAAATAACTCCACAGAAACTAAATCTTTAGAATCTTACTAAGACTGTTGAATCCAGAATCATAAATTTTCTTTATTAAATAAATATAATATTTCAAGAGTGAACTTGAAATCCTAGTGCATGAAGGCAGGCTACTTTCAATCTTTCAAATGAAGCTTATTTCCAAGAAATACTGTACCATACTATACTGTTCATGCCAGAGGTGGGTTCCTACTGGTTCAGACTGTTTGACTGAACCGGAAGTGGTTTGGCAGTGCGGATCGCTGGAACCAGCAGTGACCCAGGCCTGCCATGCCCCTGAACCAGTGCACATCCAGCGTGTATGCGTGCAGCACAGCCACAAGTGAATTGGCAGTAGTGACTGCCAGAACCCACCCCTAGTTCATGCATATATTACTCATATACTTTTGTCCCAAAAGTTACCTTATTTCAGAAATTTCTTGTCTGAAAAAAATTATATTTAGAAAACAAGCACATTTTGTTCCTAAGTATCTTAGTGTTTTGACCCAGCCAAAAAGTCCAGGTAATAGTCCTTCAAGGAGTTAACTGTAATAACAGACCTTATCAGTTCTCTGCAATAATTGCAAGGCCATGAGCTCCCAGTCGAAAGGCTGCAAATTAAGTTCTGGCAAGCAGTCTTTATGGCACAAAACCTAATGAGCAAAATCTTCAGAAATACGAATTGTTTGTCTCCTACGACAACCACTCCCCTTTCCTTCTATTTATTCCCCAGCCAGGGAAGGGTCATTCAGGGTCCATGTGTGCTTTGCTTCCCGAGTCGACTCCTTGTCCTCCGGTATTCACTTCTCCTAACTGCTCTGCACATACATGCATCAGGAACAGGCCCCAGCTGTTCTTCCTTCTCACTCATATCAGCCTTCAAAGGCAGGTGCCTCTCTGGTGGCTGGGAAATGTTGGATGGCTCTGGCTTTATCTCTGTGTCTGATACAGAGCATCCATCTGAGCCTTCTTCAGACTCCAGAACTGGCCCAAGTTCCTCCCCAACCTCCTCATCATCTGAGTCTGTTGCCAGCTCTGCTGGCAGCTGGCAGGCCACAACACTGAGGACCAGATTCTGCTCATCTTAAAATCAGTATTAATCCAAATAGCCAATTAAAGTAAGGACATAAATTGAGCACAATTTGATATTGAGTTTAGATACTGGGTTTTGTGCTGATAAAATTCCAAATTGAATAAATGCACCAATACTCTACTTTCATTTCCAAAGCTGGAAACTACAACTACATCAACCACAGCATTCACACCTACTTGTTGCAGCAATCATAAGGTTGCTGGAAGGTAGATCAGATTGAAATTTGGTTACCCAGTCAGTTCCATTATTTTCTAGAACTATCACAGCTGGGTTTATTCATATTTTCTCTATATGTTCAAATAAGTTACCTTCTGCTATCTATAGCCTTAACATTTTTAACGGTCTATATCCGTGATGGCGAACCTATGGCATGCAGAGCCCTCTCTGTGGGCACGCGAGCTGTCACCACAGCTTAGCTCCACTGTGTATGAGTTCACCTCCCAATGGCCAGCTGGTTTTCAGGTCTCTGCCAGGTATGCACAGGGGTGAGTGGGGTGCATATGTAGGTGTTGCGCACATATCCGTGGGGGTGGGGCATGTGTGAGGGTGAGTGGGACACATCTGCAGGGGGAAGGGCGCCCACAGGGGGCATAGACATATGCAACGGGGTGGGTACACGTGGGGGAGTCACGTGTGCATTGCGTTATGGGTGTGCGAATGTGTGCTTTTGGCACTCGGCGCCAAAAAGGCTAGCCATCACTGGTCTATATGGCATAACCATAACCTTTGATTGAAGCAGGACCTACAAAATTAAATTTTTACCATCTTTTACTATAATAATTGTTTGAAACCTTTAATTATACTTACTGTTCGATATAGAAATACCCTTAGCTTCTTTCCTCCTAGTGTTTCCAAGAATTGTCCATTGTAGAGATCATTCAAGCCAACTTTCACTTTCAAAATGTGATTCTGCAGAATCAGTTTAAGGATTCTCTGATCCATATTTAAAGTGTCATCTAACAATTTAAAAAAAAAACATTAAGTTTTTTTGTGGAATTTAACATATGCAAGGCATGACATTGTCTTTACTTTTGAATAACATTTGGAACACTGACAGACATTAGCTTTAAATGCAGTGGAAATGCTATCTACACATAGTCATAGATTTGGTGCTCCGGTATCTCATTCTTAGGCTCCAAGATGACAGAATCACTTTTCCCAAAGTTCTCATTACCATTTAATTCTTGAACCACTTCTTGTACATTGATAGGTTTAGATCTAAGAGGGCCAATTCCCTTATCTTTTCTTCAGCCAGTGAACAGGGTTATGATATACAATGATGTCAAGCTTTTATTGTCAGTAATTTTATAATTACTGTTGATTTTCTCAGAATTGTTTCTGATACATAGGAAGTATCCTATGTTTTCATAGTTTGTGATGCTTACATTGTGATGGGTACTATAGTTAAGCATTTTTAAATGAAATTGCATGGATATCTATTGAATTGGAAGGCTTATATGGGGTAATCTGTTTCTTTCTTCTTTTCTTTTTTTAGCATTATGCAATATGCTTTTGCTTGCAGATTAATGCTCTTACCCAACCCTTCCTGTAAACTGTTTGATTAGTGCTTTGATAATGAAGCATTTGTTTAGAGTGGGCTGTTTTTCAATACACTTCAATTAGTATATACCACTGTTTTCCTTATTTTTGCTTTCCCACCAAAAGAAATGGACAGCAACTTGTCTGCAATGATATAGGGTCTCCTGCTATCTAGCAGGACCTTGGCCTAGAAAACCTCCAAAATCCATCCAATTCTGTTGTTCTGTTATCTCTGCTTCCTTTAAACTATGTTAAGCAAACCCAAACACTTAGTAACCAAAGAAGAAAAACAGGCATCCCCTTTAACATTCAATGTAAAGACTATAATAGCAATTATGTAGGACACATAAGTATATATGAAATTAACTGGCAATCAGAAGACATTATGAAAATACCTTAATCTCTCAAAAGCTACAATTTCAACTGGAAATTTTTGACATTTTAAATCAAGCCAAATCCAAAACTGCTAGGGACTTCCTAGCATTTCCAAAGTAGTCATCAACAGGCACATAGAAATAAACCATACCATTTGAAATATCTAATCAAAAGTCAAGAGAAACAAGCAGCCAGAGCACACCATTATTTAGATAAGCAGAAAACAGCATCAAGTAATCAGGAAAGAAACACTAGAGCTGATATTTTTTTTCATCATGATCCTAACTATGATGCCATATCAGTGGCTGATAATTATAATGTCAAAAGCATAAAGACTCCAATTACTTCTCTCTTTAATTCTTACACAACTTTCATATGGACCACCTACCAGAAAAAGCCCCATTCAATGGAGCTAACAGGGTATATTCTTCTTCTGGCCGTAGAGCTGCAGCCAAGCCAACCTGAGCCACCAAGTCCTTGAAGGTAGCTTGGTGGGGGCCAGCAAGTTCAATAACTTGTTTAGCTAAAATTGAAAATAAAATGGTAAGTAGAGGTTTGATTTGCTTCAAAATTCTCACTGCACAGATACATGGTTCATATAAAATTTAAGAAATTATAGTTAGTAATTTTGGCTACAAAATCATGATTCTCCTTAATTGAGACAAAAATTAGATTGCCTGTTGGTCCAGTCTGGTGAGGAATAATATGAAAAATATGAGACTGAATTTACTCCTGCTTCTCTTACCTGAATCAGGAATAAGCACTTGATCTATGAGATGAATGACACCATTACTTGTCACAATGTCTTTTCGGTTCACCATTTTGACTCCATTGATCAACAAGCTTTCACCATCACAGCCAATTTCAATTGTATTCCCTTCCATGGTCTCAAAGACTGCCCCACCCATGATGGCTTCAGAACACTGAAGAGTATTTAAAATGTGGAACTTTATCAGAGCTAAATAGGGAAGAGAACAAAATGACCCAATGAAAAACAAGATATATACTGAAGTAATGCAGTAATTTGACTATCCTCCCCTCGATTCAGTCCCATTTTAAACAGCCCTAAATGTCAAAAGTTATGCAGTCAAATAGCAAATATGGTAATCAGCAAATATGGTAATCTAAGTCCATCATCTAAACACATTTGTGATCTGAATTTTTTTCTCCCTGCCTTAGAAGAAAAATAATTTATATGTTTATCTCTCACCAGTTGTTCTGTAAGATAGGAAAGTAGCTTATCCCATCCCCATTCCCTCCTAACCCTCAGAATGGGGATAACATTTGAAGGTTTACATTGACGCAGAGATTTTATTGAACTGGGTACACTTGGTTATGGACAGTTTATATCCTCAACAGATATGTCTAAATGAGAAAGGAACTAAGGAACTTACTTGAGTAGACAAGCCTATACCATTTGTTTTAAGATTACTACCCTTCAAGAAGTAATGGAACCAATCTGCAAAATCCACTGAACTAAAAAGGTTGAATTCACATATATACTCGATCACTCTGAGTAAGGAGAATTATTCTCCATGCCATTTTTCTTTTTTCTTTAATGTATATGGGCATTTCCATTGACCAGATTTTCTTGAACCCAACAGGTAGAACATTAGACTTAATGGGTACACCTTGTTTCAAAGGAACAGCAGCACAAGAGAGGAGATGCTACAATTTTACATTAATATTATTTAAGATTTTTTTTTAAAGATATTTTATTAATATTTATAGGCCGCCCTTTTCCCCGCGGGGACTCAGGGCGGCTTACATAAAATAGGAAGGGGGGTATAAAC